TATATAAATATAAAAAGGAACCTCAGAGCTCTCTCTTGCAGGCCATGTAGTCCTTTTCACAACTGAATTAAAGGTCACCACCTTTTGTGTTTGAAAGGGAGACAGAATTTATGGGAGGAAAGTGAGGATTCCCTAATTCTCGATCGGATTTAAGAGAGGGCCCCCGTTGTGTGCACACATGTAAATAAACTCACTTCCTCTGCCCAAGAATAGGAGAAGGGTTACAATAGTCTATAGTCTTGGATCTGTGTCCACGAGCAGCATGGTTTCTGAGCTCAAGACTGAGGCCGATGGCAACACAGACCACCTCTGTTCAGAAATGAATCCTGAGGGGCGCCTGGGTGGCTCAGATGGTTAAGCCTCTGCCTTTGGCTCAGGTCACGATCCCAGGGTCCTGGGACTGAGTCCCGCATCGGGCTCCCTGCTCAGCGGGGAGCCTGCTTCTCCCTCTGCCGCTGCCTCTCTCTATCTCTCTCTCTGACTCTCATGAATAAATAAAACATTTAAAAAAAAAAAAAGAAATGAATCCTGAGCAGCCAGCAGAGTCTGGGGTCCCTGTAATGTGATGCCCGCTCTCCAGTTCAAAGCCTGAAACAGGCCCACTGGAGGGGCGTCTCCAGCCTGGTGAGAATCGATGGCTTCCGTGGGGACCTTTCCCTGCCGTACCTCTGCGTGTGTGTGTGTGTGTGTGTGTGTGTGTGTCTGTGTGTGGATTTGGCGGGAAAGTCGCTATCAAGCCTTAGGGACCCAGGCATGGATTTCTGCAGGCCCTGACGACATTTTAAACTGCGGCAGCTTTATTTAGCCTCCGGACAGAGAGCTTCCCAGCAAAGGCATCAGCAGCAGCGCTCAAACCCAGAGACATCGGGTCCATTTTCATTCAGTGTGTTGCCGCTGGGAAACTCCTTGCGTTGCGCTCAGAGGATGCTGTTTTCCACAAAATGACAGTCAATTCACAATCTAATATGTATGTAATAGGCCCCACATAAATGTCCACTGAATGTGGACATGGGCTACCCTGTCCTGTATGTGTACACATTTTGGAACGCAAAATCACGTTTGTGCTTTGCTTTTTTTTTTTTTTAAACCTGGAAAGGGGTCTGTCCCTTTAGCCGTGGTGCGGAGCCCTTCTAACGCTTTTCCCTTGTCCATGCAGGAAGCCTACGTGATGGCCAGCGTGGACAATCCTCATGTGTGCCGCCTCCTGGGCATCTGCCTGACCTCCACGGTCCAGCTTATCACACAGCTCATGCCCTTTGGCTGCCTCCTGGACTATGTCCGCGAGCACAAGGACAACATTGGCTCCCAGTACCTGCTCAACTGGTGTGTGCAGATTGCAAAGGTAAATCGAGAGGGGACCTGCCTGGAGGAGTGTGCACATAGCAGCTCTGAGAGTAGGGCAGATACGCCCACTAAACAGCAGGTGAAGCTACCTTAGCTCGCTGTCCCCCCGCCCGCCCCCCCCACCGCACTTCCTGTGTGACTAACGAAAGCTGCAAAGAAAAGCAGCAACAGGAGGGGCACCCGGGTGGCTCAGTCGGTTAAATGTCTGCCTTCGGCTCAGGTCATGATCCCGGGGTCCTGGGATCGAGCCCCGCATCGGGCTCCCTGCTCCGTGGGAAGCCTGCTTCTCCCTCTCCCACTGCCCCCCACTTGTGTTCCCTCTCTCTCTGTCAAATAAATAAAATCTTTAAAAAGCAGCAAGGGGGAAAAATAAAGACAACCGGAAAAGCAACAATTGGGTTCCCCATCCTGGGATAACTAAATTTGCCAAGAGGGTACGTACCACATGCATTTTGTTTTGGACTCAATCAAATGGATTACCTTTTGCATCCAATCAGGGCCTGTCCCCATGCATGGTGAAAATCTAATTATTCAGCTACATTTAAACAATGTTCGCTTTATTAGGTGCTCAGTATGGTTTGATGCTAGTGTTCTTTCTCGGGTGTTCTTTTGGTTGACTCTTAGGGTAATCTGTAGTAGAGGAGGAACTGTGGCTTCTACCCCATCAGGACTTGCTAACAAGGCAAGCAAGGAGGTTGAGGCTGGGCTGGGCAGACCCAGAGGACAGGGGGGCTGTGGAGACAGGGCAGGTGCTGTGCAGGTTGGAGGGGCACTAGCAGGTGAACAGATGCTTTTGTGCTTTGCTGGGGTTCCTCACGGGCCCCGCCTCCCCCGTTAACAGGCTCATTCCGGAGCACGGGATGGCGGAGAATGCAGCCAGGGGACAGGTGGCCCCACCTGCGTTCTAAGGATAGCCGCAGAGCCATGTGCTGGGTACTGAGCTATTCACATGGCCTCCGAAGGACTTCTTACTTTAATCCCAAACTTCTCCCTCTTGATCCCAGCACTGCATCAGTTACTTGCACCCCAAATGGCTAAATTCTATATTTTCTCCCGGCACTGTTTTACTCAGTTGAATTTAGGGCATTTGTGGGCAGGTCCCTTTCTGAGCGTGTGTATCATTGCCCGTTGGCTCCCTCCACGGAGCAGGGTGCGGAGGGGTGTGCCAAGGCCACGGAGCCAGAAAGCCTGGCTTCCATGAGGCCTTGTCTGGGCCCTGACTGCCCGTGCCTCCCCTGGCTGCAGTCGTAGTCGGTTTATTCCGGTGCCGTCTGGTGTCGATTTCTCAGCGGCAGCCCCCGGAGGCTCCCGGCACCTCGTCTGACCACTGCCGGCCACCTGGTGTGCTTGGCCTTCTCGCACCCATAACCTGGTCACAGAACAGAGGACTTCTTCGTTGGAACTAGATAGTGATCCCGGAAGAGGGGTGTGGGCCTCCCATGCAGTGATTTTATGAAAACGCTTATTACTTCTGTGTGTGACTGGATTGGTCTCCTAAGGCTGCCACGAATTACCACAAATTCATGGTGGCTGACCACAACAGAGAGTTATCTGCTCACAGTCCTGGAGGTCAGTCCAAAATCAAGGTGCCGGCTGGGCCACCCCCTCCGAAGGTGCCAGAGGCGAGTCCGTCCTTGCCTTTACTTTTCTGGTGGTTCCAGGTGTCCCCGAGCTCATGATCCCCCCCATTGCTACCTTGGTCTTCGCACAGCCTTGTTCCCTGTTTCTGAGTCTAAATCTCCTTTTCCTTTCTCTTAAAAGACACCAGTCACCCCTAAATCCAGGATGCTTTCATCCAAGATCTTCACCTGATTGCGTCTGCAACACCCTGTGTCCAAACAAGGTCACTTTCTGAGGTTCCTGGTGGGCATGAAACTTGGGGGCCCTGTTCAGTGCAGAACAGTGGGTGATCTGGGGGAGGTGGTGGTTAGCCCCAAGCAGGTTTTACTGAATATAGAATTACTCCTGAGGAGTACTCATACACGGACTCCTGAGCCCCGAAATTCTTCCTTAGCTTTCTTTCCCAATTATCTATGGCAAGAAACTGAGAATATGGCCCTCCATACAAAGTTACCTTGCTTTGTTTGCTTTCTTTTCTTTTCTTTCTTTCTTTTTTTTTTTTTATTTGAGAGAGAGAGAGAGCAGAGTGAGCGAGAACACAAGTGGGAGGGAGAAGCAGAGGGAGAAGCAGACTCCCCACTGAGCAGGGAGCCCGATGTGGGGCTCGATCCCAGGACCCTGAGATCATGACCTGAGCCGAAGGGAGACGCTTAACGAATGAGCCACCCAGGCGCCCCTGCTTTATTTTCTTTTTAGCACATATTGCTACCTGGGAAGATCTGGCTTATTTACCGGTCCACTTGAGTTTGTGCCCAATGACCCCAAGTGGACGGTGAGCTCTGTAAGAATGGTGTCTTGGCCATCCCCACCCTGGGCAGGCCACGAGAGCTCTGCACACCTGTGGCCAAACTTCTGCTTGATTCATTAGGCCCGGTTCACCAGAGGGTGTCAGGATAGTTAGCATTTCTTCTCTCATCATCTCACGTCAGGCCACAGCTCCACAAAAGTGACCCTTCTTGGCGATGGGGCACATAGCCTCAGCAAGTTGTGTCCAGCACAGATCTGTGCTTAAAGTTCCAGAGGACTGTAGATTCCAGTCTCACTTCTGGCATTTATTAACCACGTGACCTCAGGCAAGTTGCTTAGGGTTTTTTGGGTAGTGAGGATGACACCAAGTTAGCTCCGGGAAGCACCTACCAGCGGTCCCACAGGCACGCAGTGCTCGCTAAGTGTTCCCTTTGTCCATTTCTTTGCCCCTGTTTTGGCTAAATTAGGTTGGATCAATGACTAAAATCTAAGCTGAAGCCTTGTCTTTATCAGCGTCCGTTTCTTAGAGCAGCATCTCCTGTTTCCAGATCTTCTCTCGTTCTTGAGCTTTTCTCCTCTCTCTCTCCTTTGCAACCTTACATTTCAATCTGCCCGAGCCCTGGCGTCTACAAAGATGGGAATTTATTTTACCTGTTACTGAAATCCACTCTTGTGCCTCTTGTACTTTGTTTCGCTTTACTTCACATTGAAGCCCTTCCAGATTGTGGTTGTTAGCTCTCTGGGATAGATTTCCTTTTTGATTCAGAAGAGAAACCCTTTCCCACTGTATTTGAATAGCTGCAGTGATGGAGTGCCTGTCCCTGGAGGGAAAGGAAAGAAATGATTTCCTCCGTTACGAAGAGAGAAATTTGCTCTTGGGTTAGTGACTTTTTATCTAAGTATTAAGCAGTTTTCTTTGTAGAAGTTGGAAGTGAAACTACCCAGAAACGCTTCGTGGCTGACCAGAAACTGAACTCCTGGCATTTTCTAAGTGGGATTTATTGACTTATAAATGTCCTGCCTTGATTCACAAAGGCATGGACTCTTTTGGGAAGTTTTCTAAATACTGATGGAGAGCCGGCCACTGTTATGCAAGCTTGTTGTCCTGGCTAAACTGCTAAGAGGACAAATTCTATCACCTGGGCAAAAGGAAAAGAAAAGAAAAGCGAGTAGGCTAGGGAGGAAGTCAGGATGGGCCGGAGAGCAGAAGAGCCTCCTCGAGTGTGGTGGAAATGGATTCTGTTCTCCGGCCTCAGGAGCTGGTGGAGACACCACCTCCTCCCCAGTCAGAAAGATCCTTGCTTCCTAAGCTCCTGGCTCAGGAGGCCCTGGGTGGCTCACACTTGCTGGGACTTGGTTGCCTCAGAAAGTGTATCCACTCTTTTCTGGCTACATAAGCCAGCTAGTAAGTCCCAAACTGTATCAGATGGCGCCATAATGTCATAAAATGTTCTAATCTGAAAGATCCTATCATCTTATCAGCCTGTCACGTGGAAAACATTGCTTTTGTGCCAGATTGTTCCCCTTAGAGCATCCATCACGGTGCACGTTATTACGAGGCCCTGCAATAAATAAAGCTCTCTAGACTGTGACTAATCTGACATTGTCCCAAACCTTTGGGAAAAAGAGCTCGCTTATCACCGAACCCAGATTAAGGTCTCACAGAATTGAGTTTTCAGGTAATTGACAGAAGTTGAGGATCCTCGAGGTCAGGCGCTAGAGAGGTTTGAAGACAGATACAAGGAGGAGGGAGAGGCTCTGAGCAAGACACGTTCTGCAGCCTCATCCTCTGACCACAACTGTATATGCCCCAAACTGAGTTTAAGTCAATCTAGGGGATACAGTTTAATGAGGACTAACTTAAAAAGTCACTTCAAAGGATTTATTTTTTTCAGCATACGGGATTACTTAGTTTGGTCTCAGTTCATTTGAAGAAGCCCCGGGTGTCTTCATTGGCCACACATTTGTCAGAACGATCAGTGCTTGTGAGCAGCTAAGAGGGGAGGGAGACAAGACGGGCTGAGCCATTTGTAGGTTATCCCGTCCAAGCGAGGGGCAAGAAGGGGATCATTCCAGCCGGATGTAGCCAGCACAGTCCGGGCCTCCTGGGTTCAGTTCTGGGTGCCCCGTCTTGAAACCCATGTTGACACACTATACTGTGGTCATAAAATAGACAAGCAGGGGTGTGAGAGGAGGAAAATCCCACCGGTCAAGGAAGTAGCAAAGGAGCTACAGTCCATTAGTCTAACCAGGCTGGGTGGCAAGGAGACCCCCACTTCTGTGCACCACGTCCTGGTCCCATCTGGGCTGTGGCCTTCACCACCCAGGCCGGCTCCTTCTGTGCTGCAGGTCAGGACTCATCAAGGTGAGGTTCAAGGCGCACCTCCCACCCCACTAACCGTACAGCCCAAGGGTGCTGATTCACCACTGGCCTCTTGCCTCCATCCTCAGGAAGGAGGACTCACCTGAGCTGATTCCCCCATAAAGCACGCTGCTCCGTAAACTCCCAGGCAACAAGATTAGATCAGTGACAGAGCCAAACAGCCGATCCCGTTACCAGCCATTTCAGTTATTTGGATTATTTTTTTAATTTATTCTTAAATGTTCCACAAAAGATTACAGTTAAATTTA